CTCCAACATGGCCGCCAGTCTTTTATCTTTTGAATCTCATGGGAATGGTTGAAAACAATCAATAGAGGGCAGGAGTGCCACAATAACTTTATTTAAGATAGTGGCAAAGCTCTCATTTCCATTTTTAATCCTGGCTGCGATTTTCACACAAAAATGAGACACAAAACAATAAAATCATTAGTTTGAATTGTCTGCATTGTACTAATGAAATGCTACTCCAATTTCCCTCTCCCTTCCCCCCTCCCAATCTCCACACACTCACATATAACCCCCTACCCCCCCCCCCCCCCCTTCTACTTGTACTAAGTGGAGAGGAACTGGAGCAGAATGAGAATAATTTGTTTTTTACCTGTACAATTGAACCCATCTCCGCTGTAGCCCACGTTGCATTCACAGCGGTAGCTACCCAGAGTGTTAGTACAAGTTGCATTTGAAGAACAATTGTGAGTTGCACTGCATTCGTCAATGTCTGAAGAAGAAAAAAACGGACAAAAAGCTTTATAAACTGCATTGAAAAATTTTGAAAAAATTTAGAACATTTAGAACTGTGTAAAAATGCGTTTTTAAAACCGCCAGCGCCTCTTGTGATACAAGCGCAAAAGAGACGCTAATCTTTCACGGACGAGATATGAAAATGCAAGTATTGATTCAAAGTTGTTGTGAGTAGCGATGTTAGAGCTGCAGGTCAGATGCCTCAACAAACGTTCCAATGATCCTCCAGACTCGTACTCAGTCTCTTCTCTCGCTTTTTYAGCGCCGCGTAATGCATCAAGGGAAGGGTGAAAGAAAACATCAACCCATTCGATTCAAGCAGAAAAACAGAGTAAAAACGACTGGGTATACAAGTCTGGGGATATCCAGACAGATTTTTACCTGTACAATGTAGAAACCCGTTGCCTTCAAACCCTTTCTTACAGAAGCAGGAGAATGAACCAAAACTGTTCACACAGGTGGAATGCGCAGGACAAATCTCTTCTTTACACTCGTCTTTGTCTGAATGAATATACAAGCACATCGTTTGTATAGGTGGATCCGTTTTGTTTACAGAATTTTTCTAATTAAAAGGGCCGATTAAGAACTATAAACTACGAAAGTTTGAGGTCTTTACATGCAATAGTTTATGAGATATTAGCGTTCAAAGATGCTGAGTGGCAAAAGCGCTAATTAGCTCTTATAATTTCTCTAAAAATTGGAGTTTTTTTAAATCAATTGACGCAAAAAGTAATTCATACGGGAAGCTCAAAATTGCGTGGAAAGCTTACTGTGCCATCTCGTTTCAATATTCAGTGCTGATTTACTGATAGTTAGGTTCAAACGTTTATATGCTTAGGCTAATGGTATGTTATTAATGAACCGAAATATAATGCACCTATATACCCCATACATATCACGCGTCAAAGCAGCGCGCTTCAACTGGAGGATTCCTCTTGGGATCTAGAACACATTTTTTTTTCATTTTGTCATCCAGTTGAAGTTGGATTCCAAAGAACTGCAATGGGTCTAATCGGAATGCGTATATACGAATTTATCAGGATTTGAAATGATACTTTAATTTTGTTCCGTATGTTCTCATGTGTGAAGACTAAGGCTAACCTACCGTTTTGGCACAAGTCCCCCTCGAACGATTTTGAGCATATACATCTAAAGTTACGTTCACCGAAACCTGTCTGGCAAATTCCACCATTTAAACAAGTCCTAGGCGTACATGGGCTCTAGAAATCACAATTATACATATAATAAAAATTATTGTAAAATTTGGTGTAAGTATATCTCTGTATAATAGCACAGATTGACTTACAAAGCTCATCTCATCAATATTCAAAAAGGAGCATTGTAAACCAGCATCCTTTACGAGCTTTTTCATTTTTTGCTCATTTCAAGTTATTACGATATTATGGTGCTAGACCATTTCAAAAAATATTGGCGATGATATCCCATGATTTCGACCTATTTTATATATAGTGGAAAATGAGTCAATCTAAGATCATAATTTCTACATATTGTTGTATATAGAGTATATCTCTTTGTCAATAAAACAAAATTAACAACCCTACCTCTGCTCCCCTGTACGAGAATCCTAGTTTGTTCACATAGTCCAATGGATTCTGATGGCGGATGGCATCGTTCAGCTGACACAATATCATCCCAGGTTGTGTTGGTGAGGGACCAGTGTTGTACGAGATGCAGTCGTGATGGTCGTAGCAATCAAAGCGACACTGTCGTTCGGTATTCACCGTGTGATTCGAAATCACGTGATTCAGAAGCATTTTGTTATGTTGTAGATATTCTTTGAATAGTAGTGTTCGGCAGACAGATGCTGGAAAAAATAAATTAAACGTCAAGTACCACAAATGGATTTTTACCTAAAGGTTTATTCTTGTAATACTTGTACCTACCATCCATTATCATAAAACTATCAATAACTAAGGCAAAAATAAAAGATGTTTTAGAACTACCTTCCATACTTACCGGTACAGATTTGTGTAATGTGGAACAACAGCAATTCGAGAAGATACATTTCTGTGCGGAGATTTACTTCCATTTTGGACTTGGGCGCAACAAGAGAAAGACTGAAGACGAGTTCTGAAGAGATGTTTGTTTGATGTTAAACAGTCTGTTAAACTAGCTGTATGCCTGAAAATACTATTTAAATCATTCACATATCTTTGAGTTCTTTGAATGAAGTGAAGCCAAAGTTACTCGTCCTTGGTTCACACAGCGACGAGGAGAGAACTGCTGTGAAAACGAATTCCAAATTGCATGTACCGGTGTATCTGTACGTGACGATGTCAAACAGATCGCCTATATTCTAGAAGAGTTTGAGCATTTAGTACGTATCTTTGAATGAGGTGAAGCAAGACTGGGAGGAATCAGGCACTCAGTATTTGGTGCAAACAGCAACGAGGGAAGAACTAGTACATGTGAACACGAATTCTCAACTTGTCAAGCCGATCAATATTCTAGAGTTTGAACCATTCGCGTATCTTTGCATGAGGTAAAGAGTCTTAAACTGTGTTTGTTGCTTGACAACACTTAATTAATTTAAACTGTTCAGTATATAAACGAAATCCAATAAAATACCGCTTTCAACTTGCAAGTCAATTATATCAAAATTAGCGCGTTAGAGTCATTGTTATCAAAAGTTATATATCAAGAATGAACAAAAGATGTTTTTAAAGTCATATATTTTTCATTAAGAGTGAGAATGTCAAAAGGTAATGACCCTGATGTGGGAATCTGAATGTTTTGAACATTTGGGAAGATCACGAACCATCCTGAAATTATTTTTCTTCTCTTTTAAACAGACCTCCCGTTTCCAGCTGAAGCGCTTATAGGAAATGTGTTCCTTCATGTAGTGACAAATCCGCTGGAGGGAGTCCGGTCCCACAAGAATGCGCGCCGGCCTGTACTTTCTTAACTGAAGAAACTCAACGCTTTTACTTTAGCCATAACAACAAACAGCAATTTAATTAAAAGCAACAACAACAATCTTTGTAAATAAATCAGCGCCATGGAAAATAAATTTCCGTTTTCGACAATCCCAAACGAAAAGGATGATGAGTTGTCGTTTTCAAAATTCTGGTGTTTTCACTGGAAAACGCTATTGAAAAATGAGAAAAAGTGATCTCATTCTCCGCCCTAAATAACTTGGTTCAAAAAACGCAATATAGATTACGATTAAAATTTCACAATTTCCACTCGAACTTCGTTACAACCTCTCCCTCGATCTGGGGGAAGGATTTCAAAGTTGGACGAAAGTTAAAATCTTTTGTGTCAAACTTAGTTTATCAACAAAAATCTCGTTAATAAAGAGCCAGCATTTTTTTTTTCTGAGATTACTAATCAGCGGTTGTCCCGAGTCGCGCATGCTCAGTCGTTTTAGGGCTCAAAGTAAAAGAAGGAAGCCCGAGTAAAGAATCTGGTCCGAAGTTAAGTTTTATATTGATTCTTTTTCTCTTAGATATAAATTTGCTTGACCATGGCATAGAATTTCGAAAGGGTTTTATCCTTAAAAGTATCATTATATGTAACAATTCCTATAACTACGGGAAAAACAATTTTAATTTAATTTTAAACTTTTCTACAGTTTTTTTGTTCAATCAAAGCTTTCAAGGTTATCTTATCAAGTTATCTTGTGTAGAATGCGGCGAAGCTATTTCAATACAGTTATACTTTTTGAATTCTGATTAAAAATGTAAGCATTTTTGACTATTATAATTCCACTTGCACACAGATGTTTTTTTCAATGCTATTATGGGCTTTGTTTTCAAATACTTATGGTATCACATGCTGTTTCATAGAAAAACCGAAACCTTCAAGCTGAGAAACATAAGCGAAGCTAATCAGCCACAAAACGTGCATCATAGAGTGCTCATTAGAGAATACAGCTCTTTCAAGAGATTTGTCGGAGAGAACTCCATTGCATGACCGAAAGGCCTTGTGGATAGTCAATTTTTGATGGACAACATTCACTCACTTAAGAAATTGTCAGACAAACTAAACCGAAAGTACCATTGGAGATTTCCATTGAATGGAAACAACAGTATTGACGGCCGTTCATTAGTGAATATCACCACAAACAATTACGCCCACAGTACCTTCCKGTGGTGAAAATGTCTTTTACAACTTTTTATAAATACTGTGCTTGCGCATGCGCAGTCAGTGAATATTCTTGGCCCACTTTTTCCTAAAAGCCAACAACAATAAGTGCAGACAAAAATAACCGCCCACAAAACGACATATTTRAATATCATTTCACGTGTATAATGACTGAAAAAGCCTACCAAAGACTTCGCTATTTCTTACTTGTGGTAGTACTCGGTGTCGCGTTTCTACTTGCAGCTGCAGAAGCAGGTATTGAGTAACTAGATAATGAAAACGTACCTGAAATAATACCTTCGTTTTATAATCTTGAATTGACTTTAAGTACTTTTATGAAAGCTAATATTATGTGATGTTAATTTAACTTYATAACTGAATATTTCTTAAATAGAAATTATAGAAAAGCTACCTAATGTTGAGCTAGCGCGAGAAGTGTTTTTGATCGTGAACCAGTTGCGCGTCGATGAGATAGATTCCATACGRTGGAAGAAGAGAAAAAAGTAACTAAAACTTACTAAACTTTGGGAAATTGGTCATCAGCGCAGGAAAGCAGGAGTGGAAACTAAGAATTTAACGCGAAAATAAATCCTTGGCTCGTGCATAACTGATGAAACTTTTAATTTTTTCGGAACTGTTTAATGTTTGCTCATTAATAGAAACATACTTCGTGTGATTCAATACCAAAAATAGATTGTTTAGACTGATAATTATGGGTTAGAATTACAATTTAAGGCGTTAAATCGAATTAGTTTGCAGTTTGTAGTGCATGCTGTAAGCTGCGTTGTCACCTGTTTTCTCAAGAAAASTTCTTCAGAAAAGTCCGACGTTTCCAGAACATTTCCGGCGCAACACCGTCTAGTTAGTGGTTCTTGAAACTTCAAAATCTGCTCTGCCTTAGACGAATTATAACATAAAAATGTGCTTTCAGAAACAAGTGCTTCGATCTACTGCACCATTTCGAGCTTCTTCCAAGTTCTACATTCAAAAATTTCGTTCAATGTTAATGCTGTTTTATTTTAAACATGTTTCTCCAAACTAGCACCCGACTGCCGAACACTTTTCTTCAAAGAATATCCACAGCAGAACAAAATACTTCTGAATCACGTGATTTCGAATCACACGGTGAATAACGAACGACAGTGTCGCTTTGATTGCTACGACCATCACGACTGCATCTCGTACAACACAGGACCCTCACTAAAACAACCAGGGATGATATTGTGTCAGCTGAACGACGCCATCCGCCATCAGAACCCATTGGACTACGTGGACAAATTAGGATTTACTTACAGAGGAGCGGAGGTATKTGATTTTAAATAACAAATGTAAAAGTAAACACGATTTCTACCTTTTTAAAGCGAGCATAGGTAGTTTTTCGGTTGAATCTGGCTTCTTGGAAATAACGTTTTTCCTTACGTCTCTAMACTTCATCTAACACTTCACTGAAGACATGACAGCATGTCCTAAAAGTTCTGTAAGTACATGTTAAGCGCGAACATGCCGTGTGCTACCAGCAACAAATAGTCTCCTTCACGGTTACCTGCGCCATCTTGAAATGTAGCCGTGCCTTGTCATCGAAGCGAGACAACCGTTGAGCGTGCAATGATAGAAACCTTCTTTCACACCTACAGACAATTATTCACAGGTATCTATCATTGCACGCTCAACGGTCGTCTCGCTTCGGTGCAAAGGCAAGGCTACCTTTCAAGATGGCGCAGGTATCCGTGAAGGAGACTATTGCGTACGAGAGCGCCGTCAGTAATCAAGCTATTTTCACCCACCCTCTGACATATTCATATCTACTCTTTTTGCATTTTAGAATCCCTGTGCCAGCAGTCCGTGTCACAATAATGGAACATGCCAGGCAGGATTCACTAACAAGAATTTCAGATGCATCTGTGGCGCGAACTATACGGGAGGACGATGCAGAAAAAGTATGCAATAAATTATTGTTATTTATAATTACATATTGCTGGTAGTAGAAAGAACATGGTATTGTTTCCATTTCGGGAATAGTCTCCTTCACGGATACCTGCGCCATCTTGAAAGGTAGCCGTGTCTTTGCATCGAAGCGAGACAATCGTTGAGCGTGCAATGATAGATACCTGTGAATAGTATATAGGTGTGAAAGAATGTTTCTATCATTGCACGCTCAACGGTTGTCTCGCTTCGATGACAAGGCACGGCTACCTTTCAAGATGGCGCAGGTAACCGTGAAGGAGACTATTGAYGTGTGGAGAATTAACCAGGGAACTGGGGAGGCCATGGCAGGCAGGGATACCAAGGGAGGACCAAAGAAGKTGGAGAAAATTAGGGRTGACCAYGAATGCAGAAAGAACTGGGGAGGATCKGATAGGTAGAACTWTARAGAAGACATGGTAGTCARAGAGAACSAAGAYGGAACAGGAWTTGAGACAAGGACGAGYCCGTGAGGGGGTACCGGGAGGTACGATTAGGGAGGGAAAGGAAGTAAAGAAATCAGGAAGAGGATCCAAACATTGACAAAGTTAATTTGGGTAATTRATATTCAAATATGGCGGAATATGATAATTTTAAAGTACAGTCTCTGCTTTAACATCTAGTCTTATCCCAATTTATGTCCTCAATAACTAAAATAATCTCTCTTAACCAGGAATCAAAATATGGAGACAAGCCGATTACAGCAAGAAAGTATGCATTGGGACCAAGAACGACGCTTTCGGAACWTTTAATGYCCCAGCTAAAGGAGAAATTGAGGTCATTAAACTGCAACACATTTCAGGGGGRGTTTCTTGGGGAGGAGGGTCTCAATATATCGGGAACTTTGGRGATACTGCAGACGAAAAATTTGAAATTCATATCACTTTTCCAAACAAAACTCGACTAGCCCCCCCGGCAAATTATGARTATCGATATRATTTACCTGGGCAAAAATACTCTGGTAAATGGCTTATCTATCCTTCTTTTAAGCCTTGGCTGCCGGTTCAGAGGGGGCAGGAGTTCAATGTTTGGTACGGCGATGACTTAMGAAACTACAAAGAATATGATAACAAAGGAACTTTATGCGTCCACGTGTATTTGCGTTACGCGGATTATTAAGACATTTTGCAACTGAACACATTCTGGAACGTTCTTCATAGCCCTRCATTATGCTTAATTGCACTTAACCRCCRAGACGACGGTTAAGTGCAATAAACCTTTCACACTTTTAGATAAGTATCTATATCATTGACCTTTTCTAAGATAGAAGTTTGCATTGCATTGCGGTCTAGATTCGTTACAAACATCTTTTGTTCATGCTGCCAAATATGGTGTTGTTTGTATTAAATCTATACCACAATGCACCATGGTTTCAACCTCGTTCCCAGGCCATTTATCCCTTGGCYTGGGGTTCCCAGGCCCTTTACCCCTTCGCCTGACCCCAAGCGAAGGGATAAAGGGCCTGAGAACGAGGTTGCCATGGTTTTGTATTTCAGAAACGGTCTATTGCATAGTTATCGTCTTGCCTGAATACAAAGGCAAGGCTACCTTTAAAGATAGCGAGGGAACTTTTATACACACTTGCACGTTTCTTAGAATAAAACAGTYATTACATTGCCATATTAGGGCAAAAATATGAAAGAAAACACAGGAAACCCGCACCATATGACTGCTTAAGCCCCAATATGGAATTGGGTGGAATGAGTCGATTTTGTAGAATCAAACACAAACAATTTATCGAGTTTATTAGATAAAATTATGCACTTTAATGATAATCTTATAGAAATTACAGCAAAAATTAATTAAGATAATAAAATACTCAACTCCCACAGTTTTATTCAATTCAATGACGGCGTCACTCCCATTCGGTAGTCCCAGGAGGCTTTGAGGTCAGGTCGTACAAGACACGTGACACACCTTGGACTTTGCTTATTCTCGAAACCATCTCCTCAAGGACCTAACATCACAGAATAATGAAAACTGTTGTATTCATGATTAATGGAAAATAGAACTCTGATACAAGTCTGACTCATGACGACTAGATTGTGATTCACAGAGCAGAGCAGAGCAGAGCAGAGCAGAGCAGAGCAGAGCAGAGCAGAGCAGAGCAGAGCAGAGCAGAGCAGAGCAGAGCAGAGCAGAGCAGAGCAGAATTCCTTCCTGTTCAATGACATAAAAACTTAATAAAGCAATAAACTTATATAGCAAATAAAAACTAATAAACTAATAAACTTATAAAGCAATTGTAGTGTTTGGATTATACAAAAATCAAGAATGCCAGAGTTGTGTCAAATTGATCAGACACTTGAACTTTTACTCTAATTAAACGGTTGCTCRTTGATAAAYTTCCGGAAATTTGTTACCGTATGTACTGTAACCTACCTCTAAAGGAAAATGTCGACCAGGAACGGCAGCGATGCCTGTCATAAAATCATTGGTCACAAAAGGTCTGATGACCATAGACCGCTGACATGATGGAATGTGGTCGATTGGGTCACGGTCAAAGTGGACTGGAATCGATACAATTGGCATCTGGCTAAGATTCTTTTGGCAGCCTATGGAGAGGAAATGCTCTTTTGAGAGCGGATTTAAAACTACCCTGCGAGCAGAGTGTATTTCCTTACCTCAATAAAAATTCGCGAAGGAAAATTAGGTAATTTAAAACAAAAGAAAACAAATAAAGAAAAAACGAATGTCTGAAACCGTCTCATATCAAATGACAGAGAACCTCGCGGACGTTTTGCAAAATTAAACAAWATGCATACCATATTCGGCAAGGACAGCATGTGCCACGTGGTCCGCTTGACGCAGTTGACTCAACACACCCATCGACAAATATGTTGCTGTGATTTCTTGAATTTGAAACTTGATTCTCTTGCCAAAAGCATAGCATACTCTGGTGGAGAAAAATATCAAAGCAATCCTTATTCTCTATGTGCTTTTTTTTCAATACAACCCAATGCTATTGCAGCAGCTAGAAGCTCCAAAGTTTCTTTGATGGATGCCTCCATATTACAGACACTTTCATATTACGGACACCTCTATATTACGGACACCTCTATATTACGGACACCTCTATATTACGGACACCTCTATATTACGGACACCTCTATATTACGGACACCTCTATATTACGGACACCTCTATATTACGGACACCTCTATATTACGGACACCTCTATATTACGGACACCTCTATATTACGGACACCTCTATATTACGGACACCTCTATATTACGGACACCTCTATATTACGGACACCTC